AGTAAATATCGATACTTTGCGGTCGATAGTGAGTACTTTTGCTATCGATTTTTTAGCTCGATCTATTCCCCAATATCGATCTTTTTCGTCGATAGTACTCAAAAAGAATCGACAGCGTAATCTATGAACACCACTCATCGACCAACTATGAACACCACTCATTTTGCGAAATGCAATGCAATAGTCTCTATAGGTGGTGACAACTGTTCAAAGAAGTGTCAAAGATGATCCCGAAGGGTGTCATTAGTCTCAGAATTTATTGCTCAAAAACCCAAATTGAATATGACCACACTAATAAATAAAGATGTTTATTTATTACTCTTATGTAAAATGAAACGGCTTTTTAAAGTACCAAAATGTTTTATAAAAACATATTCAACAATCGAAGTATGATTATTTCAAATTATAATACTCATCCATTTCAATATATTAGTATTTTGCGTAAAAAAGAATCGAAATATAATTATTTCAAATAATAATACTCATCCGTTTCGCAAAATACTAATATATTGAAATGGATGAATATTATTATTTGAAATAATTATATTTCGATTCTTTTTTACGCAAAATACTAATATATTGAAATGGATGAATATTATTATTTGAAATAATTGAATTTCGATTCTTTTTTACGCAAAATACCAATATACTGAAATGGATAAGTATTATCATTTGAAATAATTATATTTTGATTCTTTTTTACGCAAAATACTCACGTATTGAAATTTTTGAATATCAACATGCAAACATATGGGTTTGAGTTTCTCGGAACCATTTAAACTTTAAATCCCATCGCTCCGAAGGGATGTTTCTCTACAAGTGTCAAAATATTATCTTGACCGTCATTAAACTGAATGTTTATTGCTTTCCAAAGAGCTTCATATTGAACTTTTATGTAAACATGTAACGGCTTTTTAAAGTTGCATGCTCGCTAAAATTAATCATATAAAAATATTCAACAATTATAAAATATTATTTTACTTAAAAATATTAAAAATATTATTGTACTTAAAAATACTTAAAGTATTGCTTTTTGAATATAGTATCAGACTATTATATTGTTGTCAAAAATACTCAACTATTATAACTTGTCTTTTTTTGAAAAATTATAGAATTTGAAATTAGTATTGAAAAATTACTGTTAAAATTTTACAATATTGAAAATGATTCTGATTTAACACATCAGATACAAGCAATAGAATTCATTCTAATATTGTGATATGATATTCAATGAGTTATAGATCTTTCTTGCACTTATGTTTGATTTTTATGAAAAGTACTCAAAATTCGATATTGCGTACTATCGATACTTTCGCCACGATATTTTTTTGGCATCGATATTTTAATTAGATACTTTTTAAAGTACTCAATATCGATCTTTTGTCTCGATACTTCTAACACTAGGCACAGGGCAAGCCAGCCACAGCCGCACGCTCTTTTACCAACGGATGTTATGTCCCGAATTATTTCATATACATAATGTAACATTGAATGCCTATTGTGTTGCATTCAATAATTACTGTATACTAAACATCTACGCATTTTATAGTTTCTATAACCAGTCTCCCAAACCCAATGTCGATTTGTCAATATAGCATTATTGCATCAATTCTCGCATAGATTATAGCGGATAAATTTTGCTAAAGTATTTCGTACTTTAACTTCCCGTAGGGTGAGTTATAGTAATTGCAAAAAAGGAACCGTTCAAGTATTACGTAAGCACTATAGGGGGGCGGGGGGTTTATGGATTTGCTTATTTTGGGTTGACATGGGGGGGAGGGCAGCGGAGTATGGATGATGATTACGTCCTAGGTAGTATTTTTATTTTTTTCTACCGAATGGCAACCTTACATTGTCTTTGCCAGTATCAAAAATTTAAATTAAGTTTGTTATGTTCGTAAGATTATAATAATTTTGTTACTCTATGTTGAATACCATATCAGTAAAATCTCTACATCCTACAAACCTATTTTCTTATTTTGAAAGTTATAATTATAACCTAATAATTACAATATTTCAAAAAACAATACATTAATTGCAAAATGTTTACGCAAGCATGGGGTAGGGGGTAAGAGCTTTGCTACTTTTGCTGACAAAGGGGGTGAGAGGTAAATAATTGTAATTGTAATAAATCTGCTTACGTAATACTTGAACGATCCCAAAACGAAATTTTTTTTTTTTTCATATCTTTACATTTCGATCATTTCTGAACACTTTGGCATACCTTAAAAAAATTGATGTATTCGTGTGTGTAGTGTGTAAGTATGTTCCGATACAAATTTTTTTTTCCCGACAATTTCGAGAACAGGGATTCACCGATTTGATTATTTCAAAAAGCATTCGATGCGTATTAATGGGGAGAGACGTGCTGATTAGTTTTTGGCAAAGACAGATCCAGCCGTTTCGGAGATACAGGGCAAAAAGTGCCAAAAATGATAATACAGTTAGTTTTTGAGAGAACAGAGCGCCCGATTTGAACGATTCAAAAATCATTTTATTTGTATTGACGAAACGAAAAAATTTTCGGGAAGGCAGGTCCAACGGTTTCCAGTATCTAGAAAAAATGTAAAACAAATGCCATTTGGGGGTCAAAAATGATCATTAGACATATGCACATAAAATTAGTTATCAGATATTTTATAGAGATTTTAATAATAAGTACAAATTTTATTTATATATCTATGGGTTCCCTACCATTGTTTATTACTCGTTAGTCTCTGTAACAACTATGCAGCGCGATTGTTTTGATCAAAAGTTCAAAATATGAAAAAAATCAAATTGTTCAAAAAAATCAATATTTTGCAAAAAATTCAGAATTCTCAAAAATCTCATTTTTTCAAAGTTTTCAAAAAAAAATACAAGATGTAAAACTTAATTTTTGGTACGAGATGTTTCAGAAATGTGCCTTAAGGCACGATGCCATGCACCATGAGATACTTTTTTTTAGTCTTCATTTTTATATTCCATACTATGTTTATTATGTTCTATACAATATATGCTTTTATTTCAATGACATTGCCAAGGATCGACCTCAGGATCGCTGGCGTGTGAGTCGGGCACGTTACTGACAGAACTATTGACTAATTAAAAATTGTCCCGCTACTATTGACTCATTAAAAATTAGTCCTTAAAAATTATCTTTCTCTTTAAACTTACTAATATGCGAACTCTATAATCCTAATATATTTTAAATATATTACAATTATAATCGTATCGATGACAAATTATATAACACGTAATTCGTAATTTCTTGATATCAGCGTTTTTTAACATCTTAAGCGATCGTCCTATTGTCAGTAAGAATAGCATAACAGTATTTTTTAGTGATGGACGCAGTGTCGTTTTGAAAGATGAATTTCGATTCAAAAATATAAGAGGTCGATGTAAATAAGTGAAATAAGTTTGAAATAAAAATAAATAAAAAAAAATACAATTGTTATATTTGAAAAATATAAGGGATAAGATATATTTTATTTTATGAGTAAGATTCAGTTAATACGATTGTTTTACCAACAACTCTCTATAAAATGAGAAGAGTGAAAACTGTATTTTCCAATATGTTCAAATTCTTCAACATTCTAATATGGAACTGCTGGAACTTCCCATACCGTAGTTTAAAATGTTTAAGAGTTTTAATTTTTTTAAATTAAAAAAATGGATTTTTTAAGAATTTTTTTCAAAATTCGGTTAAACATAAATTTTAGTACTTATTATTAAAATGTCCATAAAATTACTGCTAATTTAATGTGCATATATCCAATAATCATTATTTATCGCTAAATGGATTTTTTTTTTCAAATTTTATTGCATCTCCGAAACCGATCGACTTGCTTTCTAAAAAATTTAGTCAATTCTTTGTTAAGTCAATACAAGTGAAATGTTTTTCGAATCAACTCACTTTGTTGTCAAAAAGTGAATCTTCAAAACAGCTGGCCTGCCCTCAAAACACTCTCTGTTGTCAAAAAGTGAATCTTCAAAACAGCTGGCCTGCCCTTACCAAAAACTAATCAACACGTCTCCCCATCAATAGGAATCGAATGTTTTTTTTTAATAATTCACATCGAATAATCCGTGCTCTCAAAATCGTGGACAAAAAATTGTATCAGCACATATGTACTCACGCACATCTACATTCATTTTTTGTACGTTATGCCAAAATATTCAGAAACCCTTGAAACGTAAAGATATGCAATAATCTTCATATTAGATTTTTTGCTATTATTTTTTGAAGTTGTACCCTACGGAATGAAGAGAATAAAGTATAATTTAAATTGTAACTAGATTTCAGTTATTATCATGTGTTTAACCACCGACTCTTTATGAGAATACTAAAGTCAAAATAAATAATTTTTAATAGTGATATGTTCAATTTATTCAAAAAACTATTATGATTTCTTATATATAGTTTACTGAATATATATATTATATATAATTTACATGTACAGTTTCTAAACGATTTAAAATGCTACTCAAAATTAAAAGATCATCAAATTAATAATCGAATTTTACACTGTAAGCAAAAATTGGAAAAAAAAGTGATCAGCTTTACCTGCTGTGAATGCCCCACTATTAACTTACAGGCGAGAGCTCTACAAGAGAGAATGAAACGAGGAATAGAGCTCTCAACGTCCGTCTCTATCATTGGATTCTCAAGGTAAAAAATACCTGGCCGGTCAACTAAACGACCGAGCGACCCGCCGCGCCGCTATACAGCCGTCAGTCAGTACGAAACGCGAAGAGAACATTATCCCACCACGATATTAACCCAAGCTCCGTCAACCGTGGCCGAAGCAGCACTTCGCGGTTCTGTCGAAGCACCAGCGTGCAGTGCCGATGCGAACTTGATGGAAGGTAGATTGTGTCGCTGTCGATGACCAAAACAATGATCGAAAAACATATAACGGTCTAGTAGAAACGCGATAAATTATGTGTGTATGCCTCGTTTCATGACAAATTCATTAGTTTAATTTTTTGTTGTATTTGTTGTTAAATACTGAACAATGTTGGCAAGCGATTATGTACTGGATCTGTGCAACGTGCATTATACGGGTCAGGTGAGTGATGTATTGTTATTGTTTTTATTATCTGTGCTCGTCTATTATTATCGGTGCGACAACCTGATTTGTTTGAAAACTTCTAATGTTTAATGCAAATATTATCTTTTTTTTCCTTCGTTTTATATATTTGCACAGGTAAGCGGTTAAGAGCGACGGGACTTGATTCAGAGGTCCCAGGTTCGATACCCACTTCGAACAGCCTGTTGTCAGGCAACAGTGACAACGATTTTCACTTGGAAATATAGATAGCAATATGTTTCCAAGTGAAAATAGCCCTTGCCTGGCATTGCTGCACCAATAAAAACTCAGCCCTATTAGATTAATTCTAATAACAAAAATCATCAAATATAGATGAATTAACCATTGGGTTACCATCTAAAAAATAAGAAGTAAGGAGAAGTTTCAGCCCAACAGCTCATAGGACGTAAGGTTCTGATTGCTGTTAAAAATATGAATATATATATATATATATATATATATATATATATATATATATGCACATATTTCATCATGAAACATCAGCAAAATTTTTGGTAGTACTTAGGATGTCTATATCGGATGCCAATCCATTGATTGGGCGTCCTAGTCTGATGGTACCCTATTTTACTTTTATGTCTCCAAGAGTGGTCCCATGGATATGGATGGTATACGATTCTCTTTTTATAATTTCTCATGCACTGTATTGATATTTATATATTTATGTATGAGCCAATTTGGAAGATATTTAGAAGCATTTCCTACTTCTCTCAGAAGTTTATTTTGGAATCCTTGGATGATTATGGTATTTGAATTCTTAGATGTCCCCCATAGTTGAATTCCATACGTCCATACTGGTTTTAGCATTACTTTGCACAGTAACATCTGTTACTGTCTTGATATTTAAATATTTATGTATGAGTCAATTTAGTACATATTTAGGGGCATTTACTATTTCTGTAAAGAGTTTATTTTGGAATCTTTGGATGATTGTTATACTTGATTTCTTAGATGTTCCCCATAGTTGAATTCCGTACGTCCATACTGGTTTCAGCATTACTTTGCACAGTAATAACTTGCTCTATGAGCTTAAATTAGACTTTCTTTAATAGACAATATAGTTTTCTTCAAAATCTTTCACGTTGTTGTCATTTTCTTTGTATGTGGTATTTGCGAGTGGGTTTCGAGTCTAACAATAAGTGCAGGAGCCCAAATACTTGACGACGGTTGATTTTTATATTTGCAAATATTACCGATATGTGATATAAATTAACAGTAATGAGCATGTATTTAAATTATAAATTCAGCAGGTCAGTGGCGTCGGAACCGTGTGGGGTGTGTGGGCTCGAGCCCACTCATAAATTTTGATGGGGGGGCTCAGCCCACCCATTAATCTCAAAAAATTGTATGGCCTAATATGTCTAAAAAAAGGGACCCACTGTCTGCCTATCAAAAAAAAAAACGAGCCCACCCATCCTACCACAAATGTATAGTGTGAAAGTACTTATATAGTATGATTACCCACGAAAGCCAAGAAAAGTAGAAGTTTAAATATGTAAAAAGTACAAAATATCAGAAGTGTCAGCTATTTAAAATATTATCACGCAATTTTGTTTGACATCTCATCTCTTTGTTTCTAACAAGATATTTAATTATGTTTTTCATAAAAGGTCGAACCAGGAAAATGCGCTCAACGTCTTCTGGGCAACACCAAGACGGGAGTCATCTTGAAAGATGTTGTAATGACTGTGCACAGCGGCGAGGTCATGGCAATTCTCGGATCGAAGGGTAAGTTCAGACCTCGGGTTAAATTTCGTAATGCAAATGCATGAGTTAATGCAGTTGCTTTGATATACAGTAAAAACCGCTCAGTATGACCCCGTATATATTGACCAACCGTTTATAACGGCGCATTTTTAAATTTCACGCAGTTAAAAATTATGTCCTGTTATAATGTTCAACAAGCAGTTCGTTTCCATCACAAGAAGCAAGATCAATCACGTAACCAAAATTCAGATTCGTTAACAGCCCCAAAAATATGACAATAAATATGCACAATAGTACTAAGGACTGTCTTTAAAATAAAATGAAAGAAAAATATGCAAAAATTACAATTACTTGCATTCAAAAAAACATTTATATGTGCATACTGTACTGATTGTAATTATGTAATGTAGCTACTATGTTATTCTATTAGAATACCTAAATACATATACATTAACATAAAGAAGTTTTCTCTTACAAAACTTGTGCTGTCCCTTCGATATCATACTAACCGAATTTCACATTACGCTCTTTGCATATGAGATGTGACTTTCATAACTACAGCCATATCTTTATAAAATTCTTATTGTCTTAAATTATTATTGATATCGAGGAATAAAAGAGAATATAAATTATAAAATTTGGAATTCTATAGGAAAATATAAATATGAATGTCTATAGCTGCATATAATATGCATTTGAATCATACATTGACTTTTATAGACTCACTAAATTACATTCGTAATATGTTATATGGTGCATTAGCAAAAATTTATAAGATTAGTAATGTAAATAAGCTGATATATCTGTCCTAAGTAATATGAAATGCTTTTCATTCATGAATTATATACATATATATATGTCGATAGTTTTGTCGACGTTGATACTTATTTAGTTGATATAATAATAATAAATGGTAGTCTGCCCGAAGGCAGATCCATGGTGTGAGAGCTACCACAAATAAATGATTCCCTTAGTTGATTATATGTATATATATTCAATGAATATTTATGTAATATTCTTGGAGTTAATATATAAATGTACCAAGAGTACGGATTTATTCGAGCAAATATTTACATGTAAAATATATTTAATTTTTGTTGCATAGAGTAGTTTATCATCAGAAAACCATTACTTCCAGGTGTTTTAAAAAAACTTTATTAGCTATATTTTCTTTCTCTTCTCAAATCCGTTCTCTGCTAATAGTTTACAAGTAGTTAATATTCACTATAACTGCTTCATAGATGTCTTGATCGTCTTGAAAACTGTGATATTGTACCGTATTATAATTCCTTGTAAATGTTTCTAAACAAATTTTAGAGGTTTCCTACTTTCTCTAAAACTTTTGTTATGCACATCCTAACATATACTCCTTATATGTGACAAAATGGGCTAGTGCATTCCAAATAATGCTTACAGTAATATTGTAATTGCTTCAGAATTGGAAGATTTGTCTGTATACATACAGAAACAGCAACATAACTGAATAAATATGATTTCATAAAACGCCCATGAATAAAATATATTGTTTATGAAAGCTTATTATCAAAATAATTCATTCGTAGAAACTAACAAAACAAAAATTCAGCTCAACCCTTGGGTAGACAAGAACTATGGAGGAAGATAGTAAGGCATAAAATCTCCCTCCCAATCAATTTTATAACGTTATTTACAAAAAAAGAATATATGATGCACCATATAATTAAATACAATCAAATAAAATAAGTGTTAAGATAACTTATAAAATATATATGAAATGAACAATAAAAAAAAACTCAACCCTTTCCATAATCATATTTTGATATAATTATCATGAATTGCTTTTCTAAATCATATCGATATAAGTCTATAAGTTATATCGGTATAACTTATAATTGGATATTTATTATCTTCTGATGAATTGTATAATTGTCCGTCTTGTACATTATTATAGAAACGTTTTACATAATTCCAGAAAGTGGTATTTGATAAACAATAAAAAATAGTTTATTACTTAGAGCCGTAGTCTGGGAACCGGGGTGACTTACCATAAATGGGGTAAAACTAGAATTTTTGGGGTAAAAGTATGTATTTTTAATTGACTGACTTAGAGTATAAGTTACTCTGAAAGCAGCTTTGTTAAATTCTTATATATTTGTTGACATGTATCATTATGTATCTGTTAATCAACCGAAGCTCATACTATATGCAGTAGATCTCAAACACCACGAATGTCAAAATATTAACAAATAATTTATAATAAAAATAATTTAATTAAAATCATGCAGCTAACCATTTTAGTTTATTCCTAGCTTTAGGGTTAATTATCATCCAATACTCCAATGCAGGTAATTCAAAATTTGCACTTTTGCACCCATTGTTGACAGCTGCTTTTTGAAACACAACAATGACGGTTGGGATATAACAGTAAAACATACTATTTCCAAAAAGACCTTTGTAGAAACAAATCAAGCAATTAATATAATAATATGAAAGCTTATGATCCTATAACCAATTTGCAAATTCATATTTACCTGCATAATATTGGAATACTGAATAAAATGTGTTGAAACATTTTGAGGTTATGTATCTTATTTTCATATTTCGGCTTATTTTTGTACCAGTTCAACCCATTTTTGAGCAAAATTTGATACTAATATACACGTTTTGGATTTATAAACAACTCAAATTTAAAAAAAAATATTACTCTAAAACTCAAAATTTATAAATGTCAAAAGACGTTGAGCCTGGATAAAGGCGAAGGTAAACAAAGGGTAAATAGCATTGCGTATTGTTTTGTGTGCGAAACCTTATTCTGCCTGATGGTATAAGCAAACCGTAGAAACGAACCAACTTTAAAAGTTCAAGATTTAAAGCAAAAATATTAATACATAATATTAAATTTATTTTTAATTATATATATATATATACATATAAGTAGACTAACAAGATAACAAATTAAGTCTTGAGAAGAGTGGACGAAGAAAGGACTCTACTGAGCACAATCCTGGAAATAGAAGGAAACTGGTTGACCATTTATACTTGTTTATCTATGATCAGACCATTTATACTTCTGCCCGACGTTGTTGAGAGTAAAATAGAAGAAATGAAAGGAATGGGAAGAAGAAGAATGCAGACGATTGACGACTAACACGTGAAGAAAAAATACAAGAAAGTGAAAGCCGAAGCACAGGATCAAGATGCATGGAAGCAGAAATTCGGAAGAAAAAATACGTGAAAAAAAGGGGGAGAGATGGGAAATATTATATTGGTAATGGGAATGATAGACGAAGGGTACGGGGTACGGGGTACGGGGTACGGGAATCATTTTTTGTGGTGGCTTTCACACCATGGACCTGCCTTCGAGCAGACTACCATTTAGTATTATTATATATAAATAATAAACCGTAAAAATTTGAATACTACATTTATACTTCCCATTGTTGGAGCAGTTTATATTTCCAGATACGATTTAATCCTAATTTTATGCTTTCTTGGCGTTGCAAGATCAAATCTAAATCGTTTGACACCAAAATTGGTAATAGTATGAGTTTTAATATGTGAGACAAAATTCGTTCTTTCGTCGAAGTTTTTTTCTGAACTGATTTCATAAACTTTTAAGCCATTTGATAAAACTTGATCAATCGGGCTGTTTCTTTAGAATTAACATAAAAGTGCAAAATTGTTTGTCCACGTTTTACTCAATAGACCTGAACCGATTTGGAAAATTCAAAAACTGTTCGAATGATATCAGCTGATATTATTATACTAGTTAATAATCAAGGAAATTATTTTTTTATTGATTTTTTGTGATGAAACTTTTCATGGTGATGGAGACCATGGCTTTAAAGAACATACTGAAATGTTGAAGACCTAAGACAACTTGTTTAATTTTAAAAAATTATTGAAACCATTACTTTTAAAAAATAAATCCGTTTATGTATTAGGCGAGAATATCTAACAATAAGATGTTTGGCAAATATGTAGAAATTTGATTAATTTCAAATTGTTTCTAATATTATAACCATATAGCAACTCGGTAAACTCACGCTCACGCTCACGAATCAATATATTGGTCAAACAATTTGTCTTGAGGCAAAATCTCACTTACACCTAGTTATGTGTAATTAGGACAAAATTTCAATTAAGATAGGGAATTATAGAATTCTAGAGCCTCCCCCCATAAAGTAAAGCCTAACGGCAGTTTCCGTGGGGACTAGAGACAAGAAGAAAGCGGAGGTTTGAGTTGGTATTATTTATAACGAGCTTAACATACCCAGAGTAAAGTCCTAGTTTGGCATGCGTAAATGCATTTCTTTCCCTATACAAAAAATTTCATATCATTGATGATAATGATCATTTGAAAGATTCGCTTATATGATTAACATTATTTTATTAATGAAATGACAAAAGATCAATATTAAATATATTGTCTTAAACACAATTTAAAAAAAATCAATGATCAAAAATTTAGTTAATATTGTTAATAAATATTTTAATAATATTCTTACAATTGTTTATAAATATTCGTCGATAATTTCCTTGATTTGTGATTTTTAAATAAATTTCTATCTTAGGAAGTGGCAAACGGGCCGTCTTGGACGTGATATCGCGGAGAGCCCAAGGAACAGCACGAGGTACGGTGCTACTAAATGGGGTCCCACTCACTTTGAGGGTATTCCAACAACGTTGTGGTTATGTGACACAACGATGCGACTTAATACCTGGTCTAACAGTCCAACAAACATTAACATATACGCCAACAATAGTAAGTATGAAATAATTCATTTGTAAAACTATTATTTTACCACTATTCCATTTCAATCAAGTCCATGTTAATTGCCTTGACTACTCTGTTTACACAATTATATCTTGTGTATTGATAGATTTTTCTGTTAATATTTTAGTTGGGAGGATACATGAAAATGTCTAAAGTTAAACAAGTTTTGGCAGACTTAGCTTTATCACAAGTAGCTCACAAAAAAATAGAAAAGCTAACATTAAGCGAATATCGCAGACTGGTGATTGGAGTTCAGTTGATGCGTGATCCCGGTAAGAAATATTTAGTTTTATAAAAGTTAGTAACACTCTTTGGAATTAAAGCTCAGGTAAAGTTATAGTCGCATGTTCAAAATACAATCTCATTCAATGTTTATTTGTTTAGTAATCCTTCTGCTGGATGAACCTACATGGAATTTAGATCCGCTTAACACATATTTAATAATATCCATATTATCAAACACGGCGAAAAAGACCGGTTGTGGTATTATTTTATCTCTAGAAAAACCAAGGTAATTTGTTAAAATTTAGCAAACTGTGCAAATTGATATTTATAATATCATTGTTCATTTAGGTCTGATGTATTTCCATTTTTGGACCGAGCGCTGTATCTGTGTTTGGGAGGAGTAGTATATTCAGGGGGGACTAGGGCAATGTTGGAATATTTTCATGATATTGGATATCCATGTCCACGTATGGAGAATCCACTAATGTACTATTGTAAGTTAATATAAAGGAGATATGATATCATAGTGCTTGTATCATTCTTGTAAAATTTCAAGCACAATGTCAATGTATACTGGAAGATCTCAATAACACTTGGCAATTGCATATCATCATCCAAAATCTGGCTTACAATTAGACGCAAATAAATAATAAAAAACACCCTATTTGCTAAACATTAATAATCTCTTAAATTATTGAATGACAAAAATGGTTTTGACAAAATCTGATCTTTTTCATAACTGGTATTACTAGCAATTTTCCTTATACTTTATTTAATATTAGATTCCCATATATTAGATTCTCACACCATACCAATGTTGAAAACGTATTTATCAACAATAAACTTATTAGAAAAGTATGGCAACTTGTATATATATATTAATGAAAATATTAAATTTAAACAGTCTTACCTTATTAAGTTTGTATCAACAGTATGTTTGTCAACTGTCGATCGACGTTCGAGAGAGCGATTTATCGAATCAAACCAGCAAATTGAGGCTTTAGTTGAAAGATTTCGACAAGAAAGAATACCAGGGCCTAGTTTAGGAGCTGCAGCTTCCAAAGTGACTTTGGCATATGGAAAACCTGGACAAGCAAAAGTCATAGCTGTATTATATATGTAAGAAAATATAATAATATATATATATATATATATATATATATATATATATATATATATATATATATATATATATATATATATATATTTAATACTAAAAATAATTTTTATTTTTTCGTTTATCCAGGCGGATATTGTCATCAATATTTAGTTGGAGCTCTTATGGCATCCAGCAACTTTTCCTGAGACTGTTTTGTATGCCAATATTTTTTGCGATTCTTTGGATATTTTATAGCAACATTGGTGTAAGTTTTCAGTGTTTAAATAATATACATTATTCTTTAAAAAAAATGATATAACTTTAATTTCTTATTTTAGAACTTTCAGAGGGCATTCATTACGAAAAACGGATTGGTTTTTAACATGCAAACGATGGCATATGCATCTGGTCTCATTAACACCATTATCATTTGTAAGTAGAAAGGTTAAAACAACTATTTATGGCGTATAAGATAGTTTTTCGTGTGCAATTTTGTTTTCATTATGTACGTTTTGTCTGTGTCTCATGAATATACATTTAAGGGACCGATTCTGCTGCTTAACAGACCAATGTTATGGCAAGGCTATATTATGAAGAACTTTCCATACAAATTCGTCCTAAATATTGATAAAAGCCATGTGGTTGCTGTGCAGTCAGCCAATTTTTTCAGATTGTCACAGAGAAAACATGATCTAGAAACCGCAAAAATGTCAACATAGTTTATAAACTATGTTAGATACCAAGATCTTTTTGACTCAGGTTCATAACATACGAGTGGCGATGCAGTTTATGTGTGAAACGCCTGAATGCACAGCAAACAAATGACATTTTGACAATATTCAGTATGACTCAGTAGCATAATGTATGGAAGTTGGAGCGTAACATGGCCTTGCCATAACCTTTGTCTGTTATGCGGCAGAATCGGTCCCCAAGTTTTGATAAATATATTGATGATCAATATATCTGTTTATTTTATAGTTCCAAAATGGCGAACAAGATATTACCAGGAATGCCAAGAAGGTCTATATGGTGGTCCAGCCCTATTATTTTCGTGGAATTTAGTTTCACTACCTTTCTCTATAATATCAAGTACAGCTGCAATAGCTATTATATACCCGTAAGTATATATTCACATGATATAGTATATATATATATATATATATATATATATATATATATATATATAAAGAAAAAAATATTCGTGATTCCTAGAGACCCAATATTTTAGGTTATTAAACTGAAAGTATTTATAATTGCTTCGTAAAAATTATTTCGATTCTTTGCTACGAATTTTAATTTCAACTGTAATATGTAAAAAAATTGTTATTAATGTTGAGCAATATGCAAACTATTAATCCGATTTAATTTCATGAGTACCTATGTTTGTAAAATATTTTCATAGTTTTAACTGTCATAGTAACTGACATCGAATTGTTTGCAAATTTTTTTTTGTATATATATATATATATATATTATTATTATTATTATTATTATTATTATTATTATTATGTAGTAATAATAATAATAGTCTATGTATTGTTGTACCGTTGTGAATATTTTGTTCAAACATTTCATAAATTTTGATTGGCCTGCCATCTTACGCATTAGATGTTAAACGCCATTTCAAGTTAAACAAATGAATAAAGTTGTTGATCGAAACAGTGCTGTGAGAAAAATTTTTAGTGTTTTTCCAATTATACAAAAATGAATGCCTTAAATCTCAAATATGTCTTATTAATTATCTTTCTTATTACGTATGGGTTGTTATCTATAGATAACAACAAAAGTAAGGCCCAGAAGGCGCCAAAATCTTATAAAAGTAAGGGCACCGAGGCAAATGCAATGTTGCCTCAACAGTCGGACACAGTGAATGAGGAAACCGAAGGCGATGACGACCCCGAAATTTCACAAATGCCGCCCGTTCAAGATGCTGATACACAATGCGAGGAAGAAGAAATACGTAACATATTATATGACGAGGGATTTGCTGACCGAGAGAGTTTTTTGTCTAATGAGGCGGGTACTGTATGTAATAGCAGCACGCAGAAGGAATCTACCCATGAAGTTTGTAATACTTTGACTGAGGATAAATCTACTCTTATAAAACATACAGACAGTGATGGTGAAACCGAAGAAAACGATAACAATGATATTGAAGAACTAGATTGCGCCAATCAGGAAGAAGAGATCGTCTATTGGTGGCCGCGAAACGAGTACAACTACATGCTGAATAAGCGCGCCGTACTTCAGACCGTTTGTTACAACTCGAGCGACGAAGACGATTCAAGCGACGACGACAGTCTGAGTTCAGCGCTGGAAGATTGCTTAGATATTTTTAGAGAAGTACAAATCAAACTAAAGATGAAACGCAATTATTCTGAAACCAAAGAGGAACCTGCAGATGCCAGACCTTTAGACCCCAATCCAAACGCCGAGAGTTCAGCTCAAAACTCAGGTAGCGATGTTTCATTTACGGATCTATCGTTATCGTCGGATGATTATAATGGCGAGGCTGACGAAGAACTATCGGATGATGAGTACCCTACCGATGAATCAGATTGTACAGATGAAGAAATGAGCGAAGATATCCTGGAAGACCTTGGGCCTAGCGACGAAGACGAGGACGATATCTGCACGCCCAATGACGACGATACGGAGACCGAAGATGAGGCTTTCAGTGATTGAAGCATTCTTCCTATAATGCATGTACAAATATCATGTAAAACATCTGTGATATTATGTGATTATTATTATTACCCGATAAATCAGTATATGCTAATCGGGCTTATGTCTAATTTTCCAGTCCTATTTAAATAAATATCCATAAATTATAAAATTTTTGTGTTTTATTATAATTCTGTATATGCATCTATATGTTGCAAATATATAATGTATTAAATTTTTTTCTATAAATATATTTGATCAATTCTGTAAGTAATCTATTATCACTGAGGCTCGTCATAACGAAATAGAATTTTATATGAGTAGAATTCACGATATAGTTACAGAATGTAATTATCATATACTTAATTAAATTTCCATCATTTATTTTATTTCAGCCTCGTATGCAGTATGGAAGATATGCGTTCTATGGCATATATGACTCTGTCTATATGGTCATGTTTTATATTTTCGGAGCAGCTGACTATTGCTATTTTGATGATTGTTAAATATTCTTTAAACGCGGCTATATTGAGCGTATATCTTCTGTCTATACTATTGACGTTATCCAGTGGTGCTTTAAGGTAAATATAATATAATAACTTAACGAATAGTGAATAGTACTTTATTACTACGTAAAGTTTTTTTTATCGATATAAATTGCAATCCAAATAATGCAATTCATAAGCTATTATGGTAAGTTTACAATAGAATTATAATTAGTTTAAAAAATGTATAGTAATCACCTCAGTAAGTGATTTTCTAATTAATACTAAGGCAGGTTTATAGTCCAATACTTCTCGAGTCTTCTTAAATCTGGTACATCGAAAACTTGTATCGGTGAAAACTGAATTATAACTGATATATATGAGTACTGATTCATCTATGTAGAGCTCTTGTCTCTAATTACTGCATCTATGTAAAGTTTCTGTCTTTAAGTACTTCATCTACGTAGAGATTCTGTCTTTAATATCATCATCTCTGTAGAGCTTCTATCTTTAATTACTTCATCTACGTAAAGCTCCTGTCTTTAGTAACATCATCTACGTAGAGCTTCTGGCTTTAATAAGATCATCTATGTAGAGCTCCTTCCTTTAGTAAGATCATCTACGTAAAGCTCCTGCCTTTAATAACATCATCTACGTAAAGCTCATGCCTTCAATTACTTTATCTATGTAAAGCTTTTGCCTTTATTCACTTCATCTGCATAAAGCTTCTGTCTGCAATTACTTGGTCTTCTTATAGCTTCTGTCTTTAATTACTTCATCTATCCTAGACAATATAATAATATAATGTTCATCTATGTAAAGCTCCTGTCTTTAATTACTTGATCTATGTAAAATTTCTGTTTTTAATTACTAACTTCATCTACGTAAAGCTTTTGTCTTTAATAAATTCATCTACATAGAGCTCCTGTCTTCAATAACTTTATCTACGTAAAGATTTTCTTCTGTCTTAAATAGAGCTCCTGTCTTTAATTATTTCATCTAAGTAAAGCTCCTGTCTTTAATTGCTTCTTCTACCTAAAGCTTCCGTCTTCTATTACTTAATCGATGCAAAGATTATGTGCTCAAAGACAGGTGTACTTCATCTACAGAAAGCTTCTGTGTTCAATTACTTCATCTACTTAGAGCTTCTTTCTATAATTGCTTCATCTACTCTTCTATCTGCATAAAACTTCTGTTTGCAATAACCCTAATTTACAAAGAGCTTCTGTCTTTAATAATATCATCTTCCTAGATTTTCAGTGATTAACAACATCATCTACGTAGAGCTCCTGCTTTCAATAAGATCATCTACGTAGAGCTGGTGCCTTTAATAAGATAATTTACGTAAAGCTCCTGCCTTTAATAACTTCATCTATGTAGAACTCATGCCCTTCATTACTTTATCTACATAAAGCTTTTGTCTTTAATATTTCATATATGTTAAACTTCTGTCTGCAATTACTTCATCTTCTTATAGCTTCTGTTTTAATTATTTCATCTATGAAAATCTCCTGTCTTTACTTACTTCATCTATGAAAAGTTCCTGCTTTTAATTACTTTATTTTTCTTAAATATTCCATCTACATAAAACTTCTGTCTGCAATTACCTCATCTATGCAGATCTTCTATCTTTAATTACTTCATCTACGCAGAGCTTCTGTCTTTAATAACATCGTATACATAGAGCTCCTGTGTTCAATAACTTCATCTACATAAAGATTCTGTCTTTAATAGAGCTCCTGTCTTTTATTACTTCTTCTATGTAAAGCTTTTGTTTTTTATTACCTAATCTGTGCAAAGATACTGTGTTCAAAGATAGGTGTACTTCATCTACATAAAGCTTCTGTGTTCAATTACCTCATCTACATAGATCTTCTATCTTTAATTACTTCATCTACGCAGAGCTTCTGTCTTTAATAATATCGTATACATAGAGCTCCTGTCTTCAATAATTTCATCTACGTAAAGATTATGTCTTTAATAGAGCTTCTGTCTTATATTACTTTTTCTACGTAAAGCTTTTGTTTTTTATTACTTAATCTGTGCAAAGATTCTGTGTTCAAGGATAGGCGTACTTCATCTACATAAAGCTTCTGTGTTCAATTACTTCATCTACTTAGAGCTTCTGTCTTTAATTACTTCACCTATGTAGAGCCTCTGTTTTTAATAACATCATCTACAGAAAACTTCTGTCTTTGATAACATCATCTACGTAAAGATTTAGTCTTTAATAGAGCTCTTGTCTTTTATTACTTTTTCTATGTAAATCTTTTGTTTTTTATTACTTAATCTGTGCAAAGATTCTGTGTTCAAAGATAGGTGTACTTTATCTACATAAAGATTCTGTGTTGAACTACTTCATCTACATAGAGCTTCTGTTCTTAATTATCTACGCAGAGCTTCTGTCTCTAATTACTTCATCTACTTACATAAAACTTATGTCTTTAATTATTTATTCATCATAAAGCTTCTGCCTTTAATTACTCATCTACATACAGCTTCTGTATTTTATAACTTAATTTATGCAAAGCATTTTGTCTTTAATTTCTTCATCTACATAGAGCTTCTATAGTTAATTTCTTCATTCGTCAAGACAAAGCCTTTGCATAGATTGAGCAATAAAAGACGAAAGCTTCTGCCTTTAATTACTTCATCTATATATAGCTTCAATCTATAATTATTTTATCTGTGTATAGCTTCTGTCTTTATTTATTACATCTTCTATTACTTAATCTATGTAGAGCTTCTGCTCCTATATTTAATTACTTCATCTGCATGTAGCTTCTCTCTTTAATTATTACATTTTCTATCACCTAATCTATGTAGAGCTTCTATATTTAATTACTGCATCTGCATATAGCTTCTGCCTTTAATTATTACATCTTCTATTATTTAATCTATCTGGAGCTTCTATATTTAATTACTTCATCTATGTAAGGCTTCTGTGTTTAATTACTTTATCTACATAGAGCATCTGCCTTTAATTACTTCATTTACATATAGATTTGTCTTTATTTATTACATCCTCTATTACTTAATCTATGCAAAGCTTTTGCCTTTAATTTCTTCATCTATGTAGAACTTCTATATTTATTTACTTCATCTACGTAGAGCATATGCTTTTAATTACTTTATCTACGTATTCTGTCTGGCTTTATCTAGCTTCTGTCTTTATTTATTACATCTTCTATTACTTAATCTATGCAAAGCCTCTACCTTGAATTTTTTCATCTACATATAGCTTCTGTATTTATATACTTCATCTACATAAAGGTTCTGCTTTTAATTACTTTATCTACATATAGCTTCTATCTTTAATTACTTCATCTACATAAAGCTTCAGTCTTTAAAAGTAAATTATTTAATTTTCAGACATTGTAGATTGTAAAATCAGAGACGTGCCAAGGTGCCTCTATAATATTTTTTAAGATCTTTGATTGTATTCTCTGCATCTTAACAATATTGAACTTACAATCGCAGCCTTGTTGCTTATTGCCATAAGTCTTTTAATCAGATTTATATATCAAAACTTTGTTTCTGATGAAAGTTTGGTGTTTTTTTCTATAAACAACTGCAATTCAGTTTCACGTTTTGCTAAATTATTCTGTGGTTTTCATGTTATCTTTCCCATCAGAGTGAATGTAATATGCTTTGATTTGGTTGATTTAGTTATTTTAATATAATTATATATATATATGTATATATATATTTATATATTATTATATATATATATATATATATATATATAAATATATATATATATTTTGCTAAATTTGTGGTATTTGTTCGACATTCACATAAACTCCTAGAGTGATTGTAATGTACTGTGATTTGGTTGATTCAGTTAAATTTTCTAGTTCTTAAACCACTTTTCAATTACTTTGAGATCTACAACTAACCAAACTACATAAAGTGATATCAATCACACTGATTTTTTGAGTTTATTAATTTAATACTTTATATTATTTTTAACTTTTACTTCTATCTTATCATTTTCATTGCTCATGAGTAGATGAAGTTGAAATACTGTACTTCATACAAATCTGTACCCAGTTTCTAAATTATTTATTCATACTAGATGGCTTTTAGATAGGTTTAGGAGTTATAAAATGAATATGAGAGCTCGAATTCTAACACAAGGCATCAGCAGTATTCGATATTGCTATGAGATTCCTATGTTTTCATACATAAATTTAAATCTTAAAAAAGTATTTAGTCTTCGGCAACAATGTTGGAAAAAATATAAATATAAATAGATGACTTTGTAATGCATTGTAGTAGTCTTTTGTATGTAATACTTTTTTTACTACATGAAATGGATTTATTAAGTTTTTACTACTACAAATTCCGTTTCAAATTTTTGTTGTGAAGCAAAGTTGTACATCATTTAAATCAAAACAAAATTCTTATATTGCATTCAATCAAATGGTTTGAAGCCTATGATTCCCTCAGAATTAGTTTTAATAAAGGGATGTAATCTTCAAAAGCATTTATGCATTATTGGTTTATGTTTAAATACTACAAGTAACATATATTTTAACTGGAAAATGTACAATTAAAGTGCTAAACAATAAAGTATACAGAGGACAATTATAATAGCTTTAGTAACTTAAGAAAAATACTGCTTCCAATAATATCAATTAAAATCTTTGACTTTAAAGTTAATTTATATTTGATATAAACTCTTAATACCAGATGCATATATAAGATGCCAAAAACTACTAATATAATATTTGTTATTATTATATTTGTACTATTCATGTGTTTTTTACTGCAATGTATGTTTTTCTCTAACTCTAGATAATACTTCTCCTATTTTCAGATCTTTCCGTGGATTGCCAGACTGGTTGCAAACTCTAACTTATATGACCCACACACGCTACTCATCAAATGTTCTCTATCGATTGATATTTAGTCAACCCTCTTTGACAAATTTACCATATAATAGAAACTACAACTGCACTAATATCAGTTTAATAGAAACATCTAATTTCAATGGTCAAAATTCCAATGCAAATTGTAAATACTTGTCAGGCAGTGAGTATCTCATTGAACGGTTTAGTAGAACTGGACTTATCGGAGAAACCGTGTTAGAAGAATTGGAGTCAGATTTTAATCTTGGATTGAGTTTTGCTTTTGCTTTTGGATTTATAATTCTAAACAAGATGCTTTACACTTTACCTTTGCCTACATTTATCAAGAATAGATTCAGAGAGTAAAATTAATTGTAAGCTTCAATGTTTGATAATATTATTAGCTTTGTGGTAAATCTTGTAGTGAAAGAAGTAAACAATCATATGGTCAAGTATTTCATTGTTGAAATTAAATAATAAGAAAATAAATATATATAAAGATAAGTTTTAGTATTTACGTACTGATATATAATTGCAGTATTAAGATAAATGTATTATATTGATATTATTTATTATTTAAGAGAATTTATGTTATTTGTATTTAATGTGTTCAATATAGCTTTGATTTAAAATTAAGTTTTTATTTTCGTTTATATAAAAGCCGTATAATATTTTAAAATTTATCTTTTATAATCTGAAATTTCAAATTTTTAGGTATGTATTTATTGATAAAAATTATTACAAGACTAATCTAATAATAAATAAGGCAATTATAATATATACAAATTTACGATAAAGATTATTTACTATGATATGATTATATTACCTCAAACCAACCAAAACCAGATCATATAGTAAAAATCTATAGCACCCATTGAAATGCAAAAATTAAAGGCGTTCATTGCATTGAATTATAGGGACGGCAAGATTTTTAGTGATACCAAATACATAATTAACAGTATAATATTTTAAGCTTAAATGCGATAACATAGTCATAACGACTTATAATTTTATCATATCTTGAACTAAACTATGCATACAAAATATATTTCAATCAGTATAAAACGTTTTAAATATATACTTATTATTTTATTGCCAAATCTATTTATTTGGCATTGCCGAATAACTTAATAATTTTTTTTAATAAACTTAAGAATTTCAAACGTTTCTCTATAATAATGAATAATATAACATTTAACAATAACATAATTATAAATTAACATTTTTATAATAAATGACTGTGTAAATATTAAATTTAACCTGTACAACAAGCAGCGCTTACAGTTATAAATCGTCTTAATAAATACAATTAAAGGTATTATCTTTTTATATTCTATCAACCAATAACATGTTTAGTACACATTTAGCGCATGTTTAAAAATATATCTATCTATTATTAATTTTACATATCGAAAGCCCTCATCCTAACAGAGGTGCTCTCATAGAAAGCCGATAGTATCAGCCGCAGGAGAATACTAAAGAACTAATTTGGTTAATCGGCACCAGCTGCCGGTACTCGGGTTTGCTGGGCAATAGGGGTTGGACGCATTAAGCGCATGGCCATCCACGAAGCCAGTGTTCCAGATGACATATTTTGGCCTTTTTGTCTAGCTATCTGATCTCTTTGTAACTGATAACGATATAATAAAGAACCAGCTACTAGTGCGCTTACTGCAGCAGCTGTAGCTAAAAGCACGAATAGTGCGCTAAAACCTGGCACAGGTAAGCAAATGCCGTACACAACTTCTTCCCGAATGCGACCCTGGAATACAGTGACGGCTTCTTGGCGACCATCTGGGCTAAACGCTAAATCTGCTTCGGAAATAACGTCGTATAAACCGCTGACACCAACATCGGCACTGCGGGCTTTGCGATCGGAAACTGTTGCTGTGCGGCGGCGGCGAGACGAGCGGTCAGGGTCGAGGCTGCGGGGACCTGCGACGGCCGCCTGCATCGGGCGTGGAGTTCCTGTCGCAGTCTCTAGCAGACGTGGACCATGTGGAAAACCTTCTTGACCGTTCATTTCTTCGGCACCTTTATTAATGTATAAATAGTTAAACTGATTTCACACACATTAAATTTCCTCCCTCAACCACTGGTATGTACAATTCGAATTCGCACATTAATAGATTTATTTGAGCCGTACAAAATAATAATAAATATTATTTTAGGCTCTTGTCAAGCGTAAATTGAAAACCAAACCTATAATTAAAACTTATAGTTCATTTCAGTTCACCAAATTTTCATACTAATTCTAATCGTTTCAAAAATGATTAAAAACAATTTTGTGAAAAAACAATTACAACAACTATTTGTAAGTCGCATTCAGCCTTAAGATAAGTTCAATAAACTTCCATTACTACAGCCTGAGCTTTCGACCTTCTTCCCTAATATAATTATCCACCAAAATTACTGAATGTTGTTTCCTCTTTTTAACGACAGATTGTAATTTATAGAAATAAATTTAAAAAAATTAGTATCAAATAAAATCATTATTTAGCTATGATTTAGCCACAGGGTATTCTAATATTGTCTGGGGTTCTATATGAACACAATGTATTCTAATATTGTCTAGGGTTCTATATGAACACAGGGTATTCTAATATTGTCTAGGGATTTAGCTATTCGGATAATTTTCTCAACTATTTTGTAAATAAGGTTTGCACTTTAACTAAAAATTAATCACATGATGTTTTTAGGAGGAGGGTGTTTGACAAAAAAAAACACCAGATATCACGTGATTTTTCAAAAATCGATCACGTCAATAATGGGCGCCTCCCAATTCCCAATGCGATACTCAATTAATATTCTAATTTCAAACAAACTTAGAATATCTGTAATACGTAATAGTAGAAATTTAATTAATTTATTTATCACATTGCATTCGAATTCGAGTTCTAAAAATGTATATCATTTAAATGAAAACGCCAATAAACGAAATATACGCGGCTTATTTTTCCAAACTATGATAATTTTTTATAATCCAACCATTTATCGTAGGCCTATAATATTTTAGTATTTTACTTCAGACCATACAATCTATAGCCAAAAAAAAAAATTCGTCATTGTTTCGGCAATTAATTACGAATAAACGTCCTGGCCGATCTTTTAAACTTCTCCTTCAAAAATTTATTAAATATAAATAACGTACTTTGTTGAGATTCGGCGTCTTCGTGATCTTCGTAAGAGGACAAAAGTTCTTCGGATTCCGACAAATCTGGACTGTTATTCACTAACGGATCTCTCAAGTATCCGGCAGATGCCCCACTATCTGAACCTAAATTAAAGAAATATCGTTAATATAATTCAGTAGTATTGATTCATAAGCGATATAAATTCCACAGGTGTAAAACAGAAGTTGTTTGTATTCGGTCTGCGACATATGCTTTCCAATTACTGCTGAATCGAGTCTAAAGTCAAAATTGGAGGTCAAACTCTAAATAACTTGATAAATTTAAAAAAAATACAAAATATTTGATCTAGAAATTTCACTGCATGAAAAATAATAAAATCGTAGAATATCATTTTCTGGCTCTTTTTTCCATAAATGACTTGAGCAACGCTTTTTCATCTCTGTTGAATATTTGTATGACGCTGCCAGCAGTGATCTGCGAACATATTTGAAGTTATCTCAAAATATTTTTGCAAATTTTTGGAAATGGTGAAAGTTGCAAAAAGATGCTGCAACACAGATAAAAAAGCGATACAAAAATCCGTTGGACAGGTCATTTATGAAGAAGAAAGCCACTAAATGATAGAAATTATAAGATCTTAATTATCAACGCAGTAAAATTTCTAGATCAGAGATTTTGTCGTTTTTTTTTAAATTTTTCTTCGTTTTTTTGCAGTTTGACCTCCAATTTTGACTTTATATTCGTATTCAGCGGTTAAAAATACATTGGAAAGCATATGTCGCACATCAAATACAGAAAACTTTTTTTATTTGATGGATCTGTGTCATTTTTAAGGGGGTTGTTTGGTTTTTATTTTTTTTTTTTTTGATTTTGAGATTTTTTGATATTATGAAAGCTAAAAACCTTAGAATTATTTAAAAAAAATCATCTCAATATCTATTTTTTTGACATATATATATATATATATATATATACATATATTATATATATATAATATAATATATATAGTGTATATATATATATATATATATATATATATATATATATCGTATGATCCTCTGAAATCGGTTTTTTCATCGCTCCGCGAGCTATTGTATACCAGCTGCTCTCTTTTTCATTATAATACCTCATGCACGACCTTTTTAATGTGTCAGCATTCTTTGAACACCATGGTGTATTTAGTACATTAAATTAAATGGTGTATTTAGTACATTATATTAAAAACTTTAAGTACGTTTTTCTCAAATTGACTTTTTTCAATGCGGTGTCACAAATTAAAAAAAAACTACAAGTCGGATCAAGTAAATAGCTGCCGTTTTTTTCCTTCTTGCTTTTTTTCTTTCATTTTGGTAGGGGGACTGGATTCAAACTTCTTCTTCAACGTAGTTTTTTTTTTGTTTCAGGCGATGTGCAACGGATTTATCTGTGGCAATGCAAAAGAGATCGATTTTGCAAGGCCGATTTTGGCGCCCCCTGGTTAAAAAATGACAGCGAAAAAAAAGAAAAGTTTGTAATATTCTATGATTTTGTAATTTTTGTTTAAAAAAAACGCATGTCTCTATGATAATAACATTTCAAGAAAAACTAAAACAATACCTTGCATTTTTTGTAAAAAAAAAACGAACAACCTCCTTAATCAAAGTAGACAATAGCATAAAATAAAAAAAATAATTCTTCTCCTTAATCAAAATAGACAATAGCATAAAATAAAAAAATAGTTCTTCCTAAAACTTTTCCATCACAAATTAATCACCAATGTTTATTAAAAATTATCTAGTTAACAAAAGGAAAGTGTCAGTTATAAACAATTATCATTCAAGATGAGATTACCGTCGTGTAATATATCATCATAGAGCATCTCTGCGTCGCCGGCAGCGGCCGACTGGGGCGAATCTTTTCGCTCCTGGGCGCCTCCGTGACCGCTCAGATGGCAATGATCCGGACAGCCGTGTCTGCATATCTCCACCTGTGCAATGTTTGAAAAGATTTATTGCGTTAGCAAGCTGTTTGCGATTCTCTATGTGAGGCCCTTAATCACTCTGCATCGTCGGATAATTCATGCCATACGTTTATCTATTCACATGATAAGACCTAACAACAAAAAGCGCCCGCGGACTGCAATACGTGCCAAACGTTTCTTGAACCGTTTTTGAAGCTCATTCATCACCACACTACAGTTTGCAAATTGAAAATCTAATGTCTCACGAAGTTGGTAATAGTCATATGAAACGTTTTAGAATCTTCATTCAATTTTGTACCATTGTTATATAGATTTGAAAAATATTTATTATTTGCAGCCAAATAATCGGAATAAAAAACAATGAATAAAAATAATAAATAATCAACTTCCCGTGTGGGCCAAAAATTCGGAAATTAAATTTTTTGCATATCTTCACGTTTTGAAGGTTTCTGAACATTTTGGCACACCGATCAACCGAATAGAATGGTTAAAAAAACATTCGATTTCTATTGATAGAGAGATGTGCTGATTAGTTTTTGGCAAAAGCAGGTCTACCCGTTACGGAGATACAGAGCAAAGAGCGCAGAAAATAGAAATCAAGATTCTCTCAAACTATTTGTATAATAGGATAATCCTGCGAATTAGTGACTATGGAAGAACCGAACAATAATTGGACACAACTAGCTTTATCAGTGGTAACCATTCCGTCGCCAATATTAAAGAATTGTGTTAAAAAGTTTCAACCAATAGAGCAGGTAATTTTAGTCTTTCATAAACTCAAAAAAATCTTGATTGGAATTGAGTAAAAAATATTCACAAAACAGACTATAATTGATAAGTCATTGAGCTAGATGAACAAAAGAACTACTACTGAAATGATTGTTATGAAACAGGAAAATGTGGTAGTAGGGTGAAAATTTGGAGTTTGAAATGACTATTATGAAATAGACATTTGTGGTAGGAGGATCAAAATATAGAGTTGTATATATTTTTCAATTCCACATCATAAAGAATTAAAATAAAAAAATTGCTACTAAAATTAAAAAAAAAGTGTTAGGGGTGGACAACCCTTGATAAAAATAAATTGTTTTTTGGAGTAAAATATGTAGGCTTTTATATGAACTCAGTGAATTTGAAATAAAAATGAGTGCAAAACATTCACTGAGTGAAAGCAGGACAAATGACTATTACGAAACAGGGGTTTGAGGTAAGGGAGTAAAAAATTAAGGCCATATGTGTCTTCAAATTACACATTATAAAAAATTAAAATTAAAGTAATAATTTAGTGCAAAAATAAAATAAAACTTTTTTCAGTTAAATTTAAGCTTTTTCATGAGTTCAAGAAAATCTTAATTAAAATTCGGTAAAAAACATTTATTTACTGCAAAAGGATGAAAAATTATTCGATTACCAAATTGACTATTACAAAATAGGCATTTGTAGTAAAATTTAGGGCTGCATGTGCCTTTTATATACCAAATAAAAAAATAAAATAAAAGAAATTGGTCGATAATTTACAAAAAATCTGAAGGATGGCGAATCACCAAGGATGGTATAAAAATAGATGTTGGATTCTCAGTCATGCTGAATATGTTGATAGAATTTAATAAAAATCTGTCGAAGGAGGATACCAATATCATGGTATACAAAATTTAAAAGAAATCCATAAATTTTGCATGAAATTTCATGCAAAATTTATGAAGTTCTTTTTCCTCAACCTTAATGTATATATATATATATATATATATATATATATATATATATATATATATATAAGAGTTGGCTTTTCATATCCGAAGCCGGATCGGTTAGGATTTGACTCCGCTTCACCGAGGAGTTATATCCGCTTAACAACTCCGACAACTTCGAAACGTAATACTCGACTCAAATGTGTTCTATAGTGAGCCTCAGAAAATTTTTCAAACATTTTTTTCGTATTATTTTAAAAAATACTAATTCAATATGCATACAAAGCTCAAATAGTGCATTTCAATATGCATACAAATCTCAAATAGTGTGCCAAAATTGAGACGATAAAAACATTAAAATATCAGGGTAAATCGTTTGCTATTAGGGGTCCACTAAGCAATTAGGTGACTAGATGATTTATGAATAAATAAATGCCAATATAATAATAATTTAAACAAATTTACCAATAAATGTCAGAGAACTTCACTCAGATTTACTCCGAGGGAAGTGTAATATCATCGAATATAACTCACTTCGGAGTCACTCAACTCTAATGTATATAACCCATTGGTTATTATAGGGTGGTTTCTTACCCCAAGCCGTATGGTGTGCGAGCAGTTTCCTGCCGATAAAATACCATTACTTTTACAAATCGAAACATACCTTGCATTTGATGTGAACGCTCAGGGCATCGGGAAACTTGAACGCGTGGAAAAAGGCGTACGTTATGACTGAGGCGCGGTCGTCGGACGCCCGCGTCTTCAGGAATCGCGAGATCATCTTCGGGCGCAGTACGCAGCCCGCCTCGTCGGACAGATGGATGACGTGCCCGGCGCCGTCTGAAGCCACGCACGACTTCACTCGCATGTCGAACTCGCCTGGTGACGATTCATTTTAGTTAGATACACGTTTTAGATTTAGATTGTTTCAATATATATATACTATATATACTCTTTAAATGGCTGTAACTCAAAAACTATTTAAGGGGCACAACTAGTGTAACCGTCTAAAAAAGGTGATTTTTGGAAATTTATATTAAAAAAACTACATTATCAATCATTTCAAAATTTTAGGAATATATTTATACATGTTTTAAGAATACATAGTAAAATTTTTGAAGAAAAAAATTAAATATTTTTTAAGTTATCGTCGATCTCCAACGGCGCGACAAAAAAAAAACGCCCTTAAATGCTGCAGTGATTCCGGCCTTTTACGTGGATGAAATAAAAAAAAAATAATTCTTGTTAAACTAGATAATATTATCTGTAAAATGAACTACGATAAAAAAAATAATTGACAAAATGGCGGCGTTTTAAAAAAAAAGTCAAATTTTACCTAAAATTTTGGTCGTTTTTGGACTAACATATAATATTTTACCTAAAATGTTGGTCGTTTTTGGACTGCCAAAATTCGATTTTGGAGCCGATCAAAAAATCGATAGTTCATTTTACGGAGAACTATATATAGAATATGTAAAAAAATTTAATAACAATCGGATCGTTCGTTTTTGAGTAATCGCTGCAGCAAATTCGGGAAATGCTGTTTCGAGAAAAACACGTTTAAAGATAAAATGATCGTTGTACTATATACTATATGTATACTTTTTAAATGGCTGTAAGTCAAAAACTATTTAAGATATCGATTTAAAATTTTGGTATGTTATTTTTAAAGCTATAACCTATCGAAATATGGAAAAATTAAAAAGTCGATTTTTTGAAAATTTCACACTAGTTGAGCCCCTTTATGCCACGAAAACATGACAAAATAAAAAAATATTTATCATATCAAAATTTATACTGTAAAAATTTATTTTATTTCTTACCTCTGTAATCGTTGATGGCTACGACAAGTGATAAAGTTGAACCAAGAGGTACAATGCCACTGACAGGTGGAGCCCATGGTCCTTTACCGTGCTGGATTTCCATCCAACAATCCACATTATCGCCTAAACAATATTATATGTTAATTATAAACAACCAATTAATTAACTTCCCGTAGGGTAAGTTATAGTAATCGCAAAAAAATCAAAAATGAAAATTTTTGCATTTCTCGACGTTTCAAAGGTTTCTGAATATTTTGGCATACCTTAGAAAAAATGGATGTATGTGTGTGTGTGTGTTCGGATACAAATTTTCGTCGACGATTTCAAGAACACCCATCAACCGATTTCAATAATTTAAAAAACATTCGATTCGTACTGATAAGGAGACGTGCTGATTAGTTTTTAGTGGAGGCAGCTCTAGCCGTTCCGAAGATACGGGGCAAAAAGTGCCAAAAACGGTAACACGGTTTTTAAGAGAACGGAGCGTCCGATTGTAAAAATTCAAAAACCATTTTACTTGTATTGACAAGATGAAGAATTGATCAAATTTTCATGAAGGCAGGTCTAGCGGTTCCGGAAATCTAGTAAAAAAAGTAAACAAAATGCCATTTACCGGTCAAAAATGATCATTAGACATATGCGCATCAAACTATCAGATATTTTATAGAGATTTTTACAATAAGTATGAAATTTGTTAACATTTCTATCGGTTCCGTACCAATGTTAATTTAGACGGCAACGCGGCGCTTACGCGCTTTGATATTTCGTCTCTATACAGTTAAAGCAGTACGATTGCTTTGAAAAAAAGTTCAGAATTTCCAAACTATGCCAAAATGAAGAAAACTTTTTTTTCGAACATTTTTTTTTGTTTCTCAAAAATCTAATTTTTTCAAAGTATTTTTTTTTTTCAAAAATGTTAATCGCTTTTGAAAAAATAATAATTTTTGGTACGGAAAGTTCCAGCAATTTGTCTTAAGGCACGATGCCTTAATTGTCTTAAGATAGAATTTCACTTACAGCTAGTTTGCTTGCTTTATTTTAAGTATTACCTCTGAAATCCAGTTGGATGATGTCCAAATCTGCGATGACCATTGGTGGTTTTGAAGCAGTTTTTTCATAATCATTAAACCACTCACAACGAAGTCGCTTTGCTTCGTCCCATACTTCCAGTAAGTCTTTATCATACTGCACGACAACCTGTGGGAAGATGGCACATAGAATGAAGTTCTGACAACGTATATTAAAATGTAATAGGAGGGCTAGTGATCATAAAAAACCTTCATTTTGATCAAAGTTATAATATAATTATAATAGCTATATAAACTAAGCAAATGTTTTTCTTACTTAATACTAATTATATAAAGCAAAATTTTAACATATTTTCGAATTAACATTTATATAGAAACTTTTTTGTAGATTTTTTAAAATTTTTATGTTATCATATTTTTGTCAGCAAATACTGCGAATACAGTTAATTGGTCATAATTGGATTGGACAACTACTGGGTTGCCATCCATTGAAAAATTCATATACCAAAAGTGAGAATAATTACTGAATGTCCTAAGTGCGACAGATTGTAATTAAAATAAAAAAAATGAATAGATAATATGTTATCATATTGTAATTGAAAACCTGAAATAAACAAGTGTTTGAACAGACATCCATTCTCATAATAGAAAAAAAGCTAAATTATGAATTATTACCAAAAAAAAAACTTTTTTCCAAGTATGTGCTTTTTGTATTATTTGTGTTAATAATTTGTTTTATTTACTCAAGAAGAGTCAAATTGGGCCTCTTAACTTATATTAGTTATAATTAATAGATTTTTACACTTGCATTATATTTAATTGACTTCTATACGTATAGAGTCCCAATTTGACTCTTCTTCAGCGTTCTTCACTAAATTATTAAAACACGAAAACCACATTCAATGAAAAAAATATTTGCGTAACAGTCATGTTAGTGAAAAGGAATAAAGAGCATATCATTTGCAAAAAATTACGAATGACGTCCATTCTGACCAATTTCGTAAAAAAGCAATGCCCAAAATGGGTTATTTTCAATTGGAAATATATTTTCGATCTATATTCTCAAGTGAAAATAGACATCGCTACTACACGATAGCAAGCTTAACTACTACACCGTGAAACATTATATATATATATATATATATATATATATATATATAATAGGTTGTCAAATATCTCCCTTCCGCCTTTTTGTATTATAAACCAAGAGCAAAAAAGCGGAAGGGAGATATTTGACAACCTAATATATATATATATATATATATATATATATATATATATATATATATATTAGGGTGGTCCTTAATATGGACATTTTCGAATTTCCTTGCTCCTAAGGGCTCAAATGATTCAAAATTGATCAAAAACAATTTTCTGAAAGTTTTAGCTCTTAATATTAACTTTTAGATAGTGCGCAATTCAATCAAACTTCGTATGAAAATAGCATAAAAATTTTTGAAAAATAAAAAAAAAGTTTTAGGTATAACTTAGCGACAAATGAATTAAAAGTGAAAATTCATGTCATTTTTTATTGAAAATTCGATGCTCTGCAAAATTTTTGAAAATATTTTCATGCTAACTTTGATTGAATTGCGCTCTATCTAAAAGACAATATTAAGAGCTAAAACTTTCAGAGAATTATTTTTTATCAATTTGGAACCATTTGAGAAATTCGAAAATGTCTATATTAACCACTCTAATATATATAATATAAATTATAAAACAATTAAAAGCTTCCTTTTCTCTTTTATGACAATTTTTATAAAAATGCATTAGAAATGATTTTATTAAATGTATTATTAAGATGTATAAAATAATTATTAGTGCAATAATAGCTATTGTTATAATAATTAGTATAATAATTATTATGACAAGAGGCAATTTATTAAAAAAAACCATCAAACTAGCACTGTAACGAGGAAATTGATGCACATGTACATAGCATATACACATATGTACTATAAGTATAAACAGTAAATTTATTGCCTATATTATTTACTGTCAATAATTACTGAACAGACTTACAGTATTCTCATAGAACTCTGGCCATTGAGATCTCTTCGTACCGCACCTGGCGTAC